AAAACTAATTGAAGCCATTAGAATGTCCTGCCTGACAGCACCATTCAAAACCACAGTTATCATCCCCTCTGTGTCCAGGCTATAACTGGGCAAAAAACATAATAAACGCAAAACTCAATCAGGAACACTACACTACCCATCAAACCCCCAGAACCTTCTAAGGAAACACTACATTACCCATCCTACCTCGAACCAGAGCACTACTATTACATTTCCTCTTCCATTCCAGCTGGGGAATAAAGAAACTATTGCCACGGTACATGCAGCATTTACCAAGCGGCCCAAATTAAGGGCCATGCCCATCATGCTAAATTAAAGTTGATTCAATTGTGTGCCTTTCATTTGTCATCTAGGTTGGTTTTAACAATGCAGCGTGTGGCTCAGACAAAACTGGTAACTGTGTATCTCAGCATGCGCTTCCATAAAAAAGTAATTGTTCCTGGGGAGATCCATAAAGTCTCGTCATTACTGGTTGTGAAAATGGGGACATTTCACAAGAGGTCCTTGAGTCTATAAGCCTATTTGATAGGAAATATTTTGACCTGCCATAAAGATATCAGAAGCCACGTTAATGGCCCAGTATTAAAATCTCTCCTCTCCTCTCCGTATGCATGTATCCTCCATAGGGTATGGAAGAAGATGGGGGAGGCCGAGAACTCAGAGGGGAATCACAAAATTGCACCGTTACCATGGAATCTGGGGAATACCCCCCCATCTCCCCTTCCTCAGCTAGCCCTGCTCCCCCATCAATATTCCTCACTGTAATCCAGCTCAGTAAATCATTCACTCATTTATTCACAAGCATTCGCATGTATTTACATATTCAGCTTTACTTAAAGGGCTCTGTTTTGGAGACAGAATGGGGGGAGTGCTGATAAAGGAATCATACATATCGTATGCAGTGTCGGGAAGATCAGAGAGAGAGAGAGCGAGCAGAGGAGTCGAGAGGAGAGAGCGAGAAGAGAGTCAGAGCTGGAAGAGAGATAGAGAGGCGAGCGGATAGAGCTATCGAGACGAGCTAGAGGTAGATAGCGAGCCGCGAGAGGATCGCTATCTATCTCTCTCTCTAGCTCTATGAGCGCATATTCTCTCTCTCTCTCTTCTCTCTCTCTTCTCTTCTTATATCTCTCTCTCTCTCTCATCGACAAGGGCCAGTGATTAATATTCAGGTCTGCCAATCTGAAATAACGCTGTGTGCTATTAACAACTGTGAAACAGCATTCTTAACCCCTTCAGCTGCTGACACAATAGATACACACTGTAGTGTAGTGATACGCGAGAGCAACAAAGCATTCACTCTCTGACTCTCTCCCGATGGAGATAGTGTATGTTTCAGCATTGGTCACTCCCACAAGGCTACAGTGAGCAATAACTACAGCTCATTCCCTCCAATGTTCCGACCCACCACCACATAGCTGTTGAGTTTCACATTCTAGACCAAACAACTGAAGAGTGAATGAAAAGGTTTATTACCCTACTGCACCCAGGATTAAATAGGTCTGTCAGAAGTACCAGCGGTGCTATACACAATGTCCATTGTGCTGGCTAGGTCAGGTCAGATAACTCAGGTCTGCAGCACTGGTCTGTCCCAGGTACAGTATATCACTCTGAACTGGGTAATGGAAGGAAAAAATAAGTGTGCTCTGTTCTGTCAGGTTAGGCTATAGACTGGCCTTGGTTTTCCTCTCGGTAAAACCAGATAAACCAGTGTCAGTAATGAGGTTGCTGCAAGCGTTACCGAGTGTTTATTTTATGTAAAAGTAAATAACAAATATTTTCCCACATTGCCACCCCCTCTAGGATAACATGTGCAATACCTTGCAATTTCTCAAGAAGGCAATCAATATGTAAAATGGGAATGTTTAACTAATTCCGAAAACAGCAAGAAAACAAAAGCCAGAGCATCATTAGCTAGCATGTAATTAAATAGGAACTAAGGCATATCAAAGAGCTAATAATCAGACCCCAGTCTCATATATGTGGGTGCTGGAGAGGAGGGGGAAATTACTGGAATGATTCCGTTTTTGTGGGGGAGTGATATGCATTAAGAAACACTGCATAATACACATACAGTAATTGTACCATATCAGTATCAAAATGCCATACAAAAAGGAATTTCAAATGTGGATGGCTCTAGCACCTCTGCTGTGAATGCTTTTGCAAAAAACATTACTCTAGACACTATCTTTCTATTCTTGATCGTATGCTGAGCGGATGGCTCACTTACAATAATGTTCACAGCACTAAGAGAAACCCTGCTGAGAGTACGGTGGGTCAAAAGGTTCAGTCTTCTCTCCCACTTTAAGAATACCCGTAGGGCTACTAATGTGCCCCTATTGAGCTCTGGGCGCACGAGCGCAGATGCAGCCCCATGCCAATCAGACCACCCAGCTGACAGGTGAAGCCTGCTCTAATCCTGTTTGTTGGTGCAAATGATAGCTCTAGACACTAACAAGATTAATGGGAGAAAATAAATGATTCAATTTGCTCGGATCCCTCAAGCATCAATAAGGCAGAAGGCAATTGGAGGCAGGATGCAGGTGGCTTGGTTCAGATTCAGATCAAGCGCAGCCAGTGCACTTCTGCAGTAGGACCCTAGGAGCGAGCAGAGGCAGGAGAGCTGCACTGATGCTCAGTTAAAGACACGAGCCCATGTATTTTTCATCAGAGCCATCAGACCTCTGATTGTCCCTGTGTGAACTGCCATCTCTCCATCATACTCATACTGTCAGCTCTACAGGCCACTGCCTCCACATCTCATACAGTCATGCTGCTGAGGGAGAGATTTATAAATATACACTACCGGTCAAAAGTTTTAGAACACCTACTAATTTAAGGGTTTTTCTTTATTTGTACTATTTTCTACATTGTAGAATAATAGTGAAGACATCAAAACTATGAAATAACACATATGGAATCATGTGGTAACCAAAGAAGTGTTAAAGAAATCAAATTATATTTTATATTTGAGATTCTTCAAATAGCCACCCTTTGCCTTGATGACAGCTTTGCACACTCTTTGCATTCTCTCAACCAGCTTCATGAGGTAGTCACCTGGAATTCATTTCAATTAACAGGTGTGCCTTCTTAAATGTTAATTTGTGGAATTTCTTTCCTTCTTAATGCATTTGAGCCAATCAGTTGTTTTGTGACAAGGTAGGGGGGGTATACAGAAGATAACCCTATTATGGCAAGAACAACTCAAATAAGCAAAGACAAACAACAGTCCATCATTACTTTAAGACATGAAGGTCAGTCAATACGGAACATTTCAAGAACTTTGATCGTTTTTTCAAGTGCAGTCGCAAAAACCATCAAGCGCTATGATGAAACTGGCTCTCATGAGGACCGCCATAGGAACTGAAGACCCAGAATTACCTGTGCTGCAGAGGATAAGTTCATTAGAGTTACCAGCCTCAGAAATTGCAGCCCAAATAAATGCTTCACAGAGTTCAAGTAACAGACACATCTCAACATCAACTGTTCAGAGGAGACTGTGTGAATCATGCCTTCATGGTCGGATTTCTGCAAAGAAACCACTACTAAAGGACACCAATAAGAAGAAGAGACTTGCTTGGTCCAAGAAACACGAGCAATGGTCATTAGACCGGCGGAAATGTGTATTTTGGTCTGGAGTCCAAATTGGAGATTTTTGGTTCCAACCGCCGTGTCTTTGTGAGACGCGGTGTGGGTGAACGGATTATCTCTGCATGTGTATTTCCCACCGTACAGCATGGAGGAGGAGGTGTTATGGTGTGGGGGTGCTTTGCTGGTGACACTGTCTGTGATTTATTTAGAATTCAAGGCACACTTAACCAGCATGGCTACCACAGCATACGCCATCCCATCTGGTTTGGGCTTAGACTATCATTTGTTTTTCAACAGGACAATGACCCAACCCACCTCCAGGCTGTGTAAGGGTTATTTTAGCAAGAAGGAGAGTGATGGAGTGCTGCATCAGATGACCTGGCCTCCACAATCCCCCGACATCAACCAAATGAGATGGTTTGGGATGAGTCAGACGGCAGAGTGAAGGAAAAGCAGCCAACAAGTGCTCAGCATATGTGGGAACTTCTTCAAGACTGTTGGAAAAGCATTACAGGTGAAGCTGGTTGAGAGAATGCCAAGAGTGTGCAAATCTGTCATCAAGGCAAATGGTGGGTATTTGAAGAATCTCAAATATAACATATATTTTGATTTGTTTAACACTTTTTTGGTTGCTACATGATTCCATATGTGTTATTCCATAGTTTTGATGTCTTCACTATTATTCTACAATGTAGAAAATAGTACAAATAAAGAAAAACCCTTGAATGAGTAGGTGTTCTAAAACTTTTGACCGGTAGTGTATATATTAGGATAATCTATTTCAAGAACCAGATGGAGAAACTTTGGCCTCTTTAGTAAAAAAAAATCAAGAAAAGGGTCATAAGAGCATAATACCATTTGGCATTTGGAGAGTATGCTTGTCAAAGACTACACAAACTGTAAATAAACATTTGAGTCTTTTAGTTTTTGGGTAAGCATTTTATTTGATTTAAAGATAAAGAAGTTAACTATACTGCAGGAAACATTCCAGATTGTTTAGCAATTGTTAATATGGAAGCATAAGGCTATGACAACAATATGAACAGACTGTGTGCTTGCCCTAAGGTTGCAGTGTCATATTTTGAACTGAAGCACTGAATCTAAATACGGTACATTGATAGCAAAAAAGAAATAACATGCACTCATGCTCTTCATGCAGGGAGACGAAAAGCAACTTTTAGACATGATTGAAATGGGAAATAAATTTGAGGTAATCTTGTTCGCTGCTTTCTGCTGGAGAGGAGGTGGATATAAGATGCCAATGATTCCCTGTGCATGCTGGAAGCTTAGAATGGAGATGTGTCTATGGGGGTTCGTGAGGACTAGAGAGGGGTGGAGCAGTGATTCCTCCACAGTGCCACAGCCGTACAGTACCCCCCTACCAGGCTCTCAGGCATAAAGATGCTACTTACTGCGCTGGCTGTGCCATCAGTGTCTGTTAGCCTCTGATGCAGGTCAAACCAAACTGTCTGCAACAAGAACCAAAACACAAGAACCACAAGTGCATTAGCGTTAACCCTAAGCTGCACTGGAACAGGGGAACCCTACTCTGCACACACCCAGGTGGGCAGGTTTTTTCACCTCACATTTCTTATTTGCAACTGTACCGAAAAAAATGAATGTTTCTTCATCCAGTGATTTCATCTCTAGATTGTCACAGCAGACTCAAGACTTGCTTTCATACTGTTCTGATGACTGACAATATTTCTCTATCTCTCTATCTCTCTCTCTCTCTCTCTCTCTTAGCTAGCTAATATACTCACAGATCTGTGGAGGAAAATGTTACACTGCAGAGGGTAGTTATCACACAGTATAATGTGGAAGGGCCTTCAAGATAACATTTAAAATTGCATGTGTAGACACTACCTTTAATATTGCATGTATTGACACTAGAGATCAAGAGCGCAAACAAGGAATCACAGAGATCTTAATCAGAGATGTAAAGCCCAGAAAAGCCATCACTGTATTGGAGAGCTATATTTCCCATCTCCCAGTCTTCAATCCAATCCAAAGCAGTGATAGGAGAACATGGGCTGGATCAACTGAGTCAAGTAACAATGGCATGAGCAATGCAGTCACTCTGTGTCCTATTATTCTGAAGTCTACAGCAGGCCACATAGGACAGAGCCAATACGTTACACGAGACACACTGTGATGGGTAAGTTATGGACAGCAACTATTGAAAACGGAGAAAAAGTCACATTCTGTGGTGTTTCTGAAGTTACTTTCTGCTTTCCGGTGGGAGTGGAGTGAAACACTGTATTGTATAGCAGTATCCTTCTCACAAATGTCTTACTGAGTGCATAATGATGCATGATGACTCAACGCAGATGTGTCTCAATGTGGGGTTTGAGATCCTGGAATTTTCTTTCATACAGAACCAAATACTGTAGCAATACGAGGGCTGCTGGAGGAAGAAAGCGGGCTGGTGTTCCAGTCGTCATGGTAATTGAGGCCTTTATAATGACACAACGGAGGAAAGGAAGCAGCAGGCAAGCATTCTACAGCACTCTACAGCATTCTACAGCACTCTACAGCACTCTACAGCATTCTACAGCATTCTACAGCATTCTACAGACAACAACAGCACATCTGGGATGGGCCTGAGGTCACCTCTGGGTAAAATCATCCTGCAGATAATATACAATGACTAGATGGGACATGGCTATGAAAATCAGGGCCTTCAGTGTGTGCAAATTAGGCACATTGTATAGGACTAGCAATTTAAAGCATATGCCTGCTTTGTATGAAAAAAAATAAAAGTTAACCATTCACTTGTATAAGATTGCATTTTTCCATATGGAGATAGCTAAGGGGATTACTACTATGATCTTGTGAGGCAGAAGACAACTCAATTTGTTGCGATGCATGTTAGTCATAACTGCATCCAGTAAACAAAATTCTCGCTCCATTCTAAACCATTTTGTAATAATTGTTTCCACACCAGGGATTTTGTACAGTCCCTCTCCTATAACATGGATAATAAGCACTTGTGGCAAACAGTGCAGCCCGCTGCTAATACATCTTTCCTGTGAGGGAACGTTTGTCTGATCCCACCACAGACATACAGTACGGTTAACTGCTCCAGGATCGCGCCTAGCCCTGTGACACAGAGGGTCTGCCTGGGAAGACCAAGAAATGCTCCCATTTAGGAATCTTTACTGGGATCTGACAGCTCCTTCCCTGTTCTCTAAGGGGCGCTTCAACGAGCATGGAATAAACCTGTTCAGCTATTCTTAGCTGTAATAAGAACTTGCCTGCCTGCCAGAGACTACAGAATTAACTGGGGACTCCATTAGTCTACCATGCTCACTTCCTTCAAGACATGGGCAAGGGGGAGAACAAAGAGCAGAGCAGAGAGAGATAGAGAGATACAGAAAGAAGAGAGAATGAGAGGGAGACAGAGAGAGCATGAGGAAAAGAGTAAGGGAAGACAGCAGTGGAGAAAGGGGGAGGGCATGAGGGAGAAGAGAGCTAGTGAGTGAGAGAGGGAGGGATAGGTGAAAGAAATAGCAAAACATATTGCAATAGTTCGTCAGGCCTCAATAATTGCTTCCTTTGTCCTTTTTCTTTCACATCCCTTCCCCCCACCCCACATCCCCCACTGGGGGAGAGAGAGCAATAATATCCAGAGAAGAGATTACTGGGTTTACAGCACTGCTCTCCCCAACACAATCTGAATCTCATCTCAGGTCCCTGGGTTTCTCTCAGCATAATTACTGGGAGGTACAGCAGAGATGGGATGTGTTGTTGGAGATGTGCTAAAGAGGTGCCATTGCATTTGACATTTTAGTAATTTAGGGACTTACAGGAGCAATTTAGGGTTAAGTGCCTTGCTCAAGGGAACATCGACAGATTTAAACCAGCGACCTTTCAGTTACTGGCCCAACGCTCTTAACCCCTAGGCAACCTGCCACCCTGGAATGTGCTAGAGATAGCCCAGTAATGACGTCAATGAAAAGTCTATTACATGTGACCACTTACCAAAGCCAGAACAGATTACCTTTGTACCTGAAGTAATGTAGAGTAGGGTGGGGAGTTCTTACCTTGTTCTCAAGGCGTCCAATCAGCTCAGCCAGTCGGTTGATCTGTGCCTCCAGAGTCTCTTTCCTCACCTCCACCACCCCTGATTGAACAGAGCACACAACACATGACGCCAACACACTCCCAGCATTCAATACATTTTATGATAGAGATCATTATACAGATTTTTTTCTCCACAGTCTATGAGTATTTGATGGAAATAAAGAGTTCCAACCAGGTCTGATAAATAGGCAACTGCATTTGTTAATCAGGAAGAATCATGTCTATTCAAGGATTGAAGTAGAAATATATTCCCAGTGCCTCAGTAGAGAAGGGTCTTTATTGCTTTTCAGCTCTGTTTAGAAAGCAATAATACATTGTATTCTAGCGCACCTGGCTCTTGTCATTAGCTTTGCCTTCTTTAGTCACCCTGGATAGTAGTGTGTGCTGTAAAGGCCCAGAGAGGACGACAATGACAGTAGAGTCAAATACACTTAGAAGCCCTGTGATAGGAGGCTTCATTAAGGCAGAAATAAATATGAGAGCCAACAATATTAATCATTCCATTCTCCCCTCTATGTGATGCCACACAGCCAATTAGTGGTGGAAAAGGGCTTCCTGCTCTTTGAAATCATCACCTCTCGAGGTGCCAAGCCAATTAGAGGATTACACTTCCCCCTGTGTTGATGAGCCTACCAGATAACCACAGAGCTGAGGGGGGCTGCTGCGTTTTGGAACCTACCAGCCGTAACCATAGAGACATTTGAAGCAGGCACATAGCAGGCACATTTGGTCAGTTGGGCCTGAATGGCAGTCCAAGCTGTTTGAGCATGGTCTCTGTCATATGCAGAAGAGCAGTCATTAGTCCTGACTAGCCATGCTAATGACAGACAGCCATCTCCATTTGCAGCTGTCTCAGCATACTGTCTAACATATGGCACAGTTGCAGATAAGCTGTGAGCAAGGAAAATGTACACGACACAGGCTGATGCCTGCACACTCACACTCACAAGCACAAACAGACACACACCCAATGAAATGGGGGAGTGTTCCTTGTCTCAGGTAGCATTGCACAATGAACAATGGCTCATTTAAAAATAACTTTTCACCCATAGTGTCAAATACTCCTGCAGTTCCACAAAACTGAATGTTTACATTTAGCATATTTACTGGCAAGGTATTCTCTGATCAGTGAACAGAGAGCACAGACAGATTCTGCAACCAGAATGTATTGTCTGTCATGATTAAAAAAAGAGATAAAGCAAAAGAAACAGCAGGAAAAACAGCAAGAAAATATATATTTGACAAGTGTGAATGGGAGAAAGAGAACGAGAGAGGGGGATAGTGAGAGAAGAACAAGTAAATGTGAGAGTGAGGGGCATAGGGAGTTATTGATCAATATTATCCTTCTGGTGTTCTCAAATGACAGGCCAGACAAAGCTGGATCCAATCAAGGTCCTCTCCCCAGCCTCTGACAGCTGTAATACTGGCTTTTATGGCCCAAACAGTCAGGTTTATGAGTGTCTGAGGGAAATTTTAAACTGGTGTCAGACTTAAGCAATGGACTCAAAAGTGCCCTTTTCTATAGACAGTTTCAATGGCTTCCATATCATTCCAATCTAGTTGATTTGTTGAACACAGTAGCTAGACAGTGGAACCAGACACTGTGCTAATTTAACTGCAGTACAATTCTATAAAGACTGTTCCCTCTGGGCACCAAAGTCAGTTCAATGTCAACTAACGTTAATTCAACGTGAAATCAACAACAAAAAATGATGTCACTGGATTTAGGTTAAAAGTTGGGTGAAAAAAAGACTAAATTCGCTTACGTTGATGACTTTCTGCAAATCCAATCAGTTTTCCAAGTTGATTCACCGACATCACATTGAATTATTTTGTTGAAATGACGTGGAAACAACATTGATTCAATCAGTTTTTGCCCAGTGGGTTATCAAAGGAGAGCAATTTAGACTATTTCACTGTGGTTTTTACTTCATTGTGACAACTTGGCCAATGGAGTCTTTTCTCGTCAAGTAGAATACATTAACAGGAATGCCGCATAAGGCCATGCGTAAAAAGGCTAGCCTGACGGCTCACACTAAATTCTTCCTCTTCTCTGTCGTTCGCTACATACTTTAGTCTGAGACTGCCATCATTGAAGTCGTTTGTGGTGACGATAGGCACGAGGGGTGTTGTAAAAAACAAAGTAATACACGATTGGATTGTCTTTAACCAATCAGAGTATCAAAGCCAATGACACATTTTCAAACTGCCGCTTTACCCACTAGTGTTCTGGCTCTGGCCCAACCCAGCAGTTTCTGGACCAATCAGACGGGCACGAATGTGTTCGCGTTTGTTGAAGGGTTGGGCAGGTACTCAGATCCAGACTCATTGCGGAGAAGAAACAAATGTCAGTGGGCGTGGCGTAGCGTTTGGCTGGAGCAAGGAGTCTGGGTAGCCAGGCAATGAAATGGCTCCTTCATGATACATTGCTAATCAATCTCATAGCCCTCCTTCTCAACACGCGTCAATCCTAAATCAATTAAGTCACTCAAAACCCTTCAAAAGGGGCACTTCTTACAACATGCAATTTGTTACAGCAAGTGAGTGGAAGGGAGAGCTGGTATCAACAGCCTATGAGTGTCTACAGTATGTGAGTCAGTGTTAAGAAGCTGTCTGAGTGTTTCATTACACATGGAGAGAGATGGAAACTATAGCAGGGAGGAAGAGAAGAGAGAGGAAGAGAGTGGCGACGGGTAGAAAACACTGCTAAACTTCAAAGGGAATCATTGGCCTCTATCTGTGTCACAAAAAAACTGGAATTAATTTGTGAGGCCATAGGCAGAAGCTCCTACTCGGCTTTAAAATGGAGCCGCGCTCTAATTGAAATTCAGGAATGGATTCAGGGAAATAGGGATTATTTATCCCCATTGAAAAGTTACCATTTTCAGCATTTATGGTCTACTTCCAAACCACTGTATACTTACGTAATGCTTATCTACTGCATGCATGATGCATGCTGACTGGGCACTCTTTGTTTATGGCTTCTGTAACTGCTCTGAATGCTGTACGTTATGCAAGCTGATTTAAATGGATTGATTCCAGAATTGTCTTAGAGACAGAAGCACCATGAAACAGCTTAAATTTCATTGTGGTTCCGAATGAAGGAAAACTACAAAAATATACAATGGTTTTAGAAGACCATTTTGTTATTGCTACTGATAGCCATAAATGTACTAGCTGTTTGTACTTAAACCTTCTCTACAGTGGCTTGCCTCCAAACTCTAACCGAAGTGAGGGCTGCAGTGCAGAGTATATGTGCCTATTTGATCGATCTGTGTCATTGTATAGCCCCTTCCTCCCTCCCTCCCTCTGCCTCCCTCCCTCTCTCTGCCTCCCTCCTTCTCTCTGCCTCCCTCCCTCCCTCTGCCTCCCTCCCTCCCTCTGCCTCCCTTCCTCTGCCTCCCTCCCTCTGCCTCCCTCCCTCTGCCTCCCTCTGCCTCCCTCCCTCTCTCTGCCTCCCTCCTCCTCTCTGCCTCCCTCCCTCTGCCTCCCTCCCTCTCTCTGCCTCCCTCCTCCTCCTCTCTGCCTCCCTCCTACTTCTCTCCTCTCTGTGGGAGAGCTAGAGCTGCCAGGCACATCTCCATGTTTCTGTAGATGATTGATTGAGATTGTAGAAAATGGGAAATAAATCACTCTGCCTGAAGAGAACAGTGCTTTTGATTTCCATTGCACTTGATTAATGCTCCCATGCTTGTCTTCAAGCTAATCACAAATGTAACCGACAAATGTGTCACACTTCATTCAGAAAGCATTTACATTGCATTTGGTTCAGGTGATACGTCTACATAATGTTTAAATGTGATGTGTCTCTGGGGAGACTGAGGGAGAAAAAAGAGTACATCACTTAAATTAATCAGCAGATTGAAGAAGGGGCTGGATTAATACAAACCTACGTCAATGAGAGACGTACATCAGTGTAGTATGTGTGTGACACAGGCAGAAGTCTGACCTGTAGCAGTGTTGATGTTCCTCGGGGCAACATCCTTGGCAGCACTGACTCTGTTGTTAGGAGGGTAGTCAGGCACTGGTTTCTCATAACGTTTCTCTGGAACCCGTGGACTGACCTTAGTGGGATACCTTTACATAGAGAGAGAGAGGGATGAGAGACAGAGAGAGAAAAAGAGAGAGAGGGATGAGAGAGCCAGGGAGGGTGAGGGAGGATCACAGTAAGTAGAAAAGGCACATACATACACTATATATACAAAAGTATGTGGATACCCCTTCAAATTAGTGGATTTAGCTATTTCAGCCACACTCGTCGCTAACAGGTGTATAAAATCGAGCACACAGCCATGCAATCTCCATAGACAAACCTTGGCAATAGAATGGCCTTACTGAAGAGCTCAGTGACTTTCAACGTGGCACTGTCATAGGATGCCACCTTTCCAACAAGTCAGTTTGTCCAATTTCTGCCCTGCTAGAGCTGGGAGCAACAACGACTCAGCCGCGAAGTGGTAGGCCACACAAGCTCACAGAACGGGACCACCGAGTGCTGAAACGTGTAGCGTGTAAAAAGCAGAGCAGCCGCACACAAGCCTAAGATCACCAGGTGCAACGCCAAGCATCGGCTGGAGTGGTGTAAATGTCGCCGCCATTGGACTCTGGAACAGTGGAAACGCGTTCTCTGGAGTGATTAATCACGCTTCACCATCTGGCAGTCCGATGGATGAATCTGGGTTTGGCGGATGCCAGGAGAACGATACCTGCCCAAATGCACAGTGCCAACTGTAAAGTTTGGTGGAGGAGGAATAATGGTCTGGGGCTGTTTTTCATGGTTCAGGCTAGGCCCCTTACTTCCAGTGAAGGGAAATCTTAACGCTACAGCATACAATGACATACTAGACAATTCTGTGGTTCCAACTTTGTGGCAACAGTTTGGAGAAGGCCCTTTCCCGTTTCAGCATGACAATGCCCCCATGCACAAAGCAAAGTCCATACAGAAAGGGTTTTTCGAGAGCGGTGTGTAAGAACTTGACTGGCCTGCACAGAGCCCTGACCTCAACCCCATCGAGCACCTTTGGGATTAATTGGAACACCGACTGCGAGCCAGGCCTAATCGCCCAACATCAGTGCCTGACCTCACTAATGCTCTTGTGGCTGAATGGAAGCAAGTTGCCGCAGCAATGTTCCAACATCTAGTGGAAAGCCTTCCCAGAAGAGTGGAGGCTGTTATAGCAGCAAAGGGGGGACCAACTCCATATTAATGCCCATGATTTTGGAATGAGATGTTCGACAAGCAGGTGTCCACATACCTTTGGTCATGTAGTGTAGCTAGGAACCTGAGTGACTTTTGATGGGGGACTGCCAGTCTCAATTTCACACATAAGGACATGACACAGCAGTGGCGTCCTCCTAACTCGATGACTCACCCTGATTGGCTACAATGCTGCTCGTCAATAGCATCCACAGCACTCTCCACCGAGTTTAGCAGAGACTGGATCTGATTGGCTGATTCCTTCAACAGGAAGCGGGTAACAAATTGCTCCACATTGGTCCCTCGCTCGTACACCTGGGGAGAGAAGAGATAGCGAGAGAGGGGGGAGGAGATAGAGAATGAGAGAAGCCTTGGCACCTTTCTGCACATCTCCTGAACACATTTCAGATAAGTCCCTCTCTATGTCTTTCACTGCCTCTAAAAGCTTCCCTTCTGCAGAGTGTTTTTGCCAAATGCAAATTGCAAAGTTTCTGAGTGTTTAAGGGTTTTTCAAGGTTGAAGGCAGACACTTTCTCTAAGCTTAAGAGAAAAATACTTAAAAGAGGGTGATAACATTTAAGGAGTCTTAAACCTGGACTCAGAACTGCACAGTCAGACAGATCTAAGGACAGTTTCAGTTTCAAAGGCAGTAGTCCGCTAGGATGCAACCTTGGCCATACTCATTACATTTGAGTAATTTAGCAGACGCAACTTACAGTTAGTGAGTGTATACATATTCATACTGGCCCCCCGTGGGAATCGAACCCACAACCCTGGCGTTGCAAGCGCCATGCTCTACCAACTGAGCTACAGTTTATTTTAACTGGTTGAAATAACCAATATTCTTCCTGCTTTGCCATTGTGGGGAAATGGTCTGTGCTGTCAAACAAGCTTTATATTATTTTGGATAAACTTAATTGTCATCTCTTGTAAGCAGACACACACTAAGATTCTTTAGATAATTGGGACACTTTGTTACATCAGACTGATCATTTCTTATGACAGAAAAACCTAAACTTGCCAAGAAAACAGAAAGTGAATATCGAATTCCATTATCTCAGCCAATGTCGGCTGTAGGTTCAGAAACAGTTTTCCTTCTGGTCTGAAAAGAGAAAGTGAGGCAATGTGCAGAATCTTTGTATTGGTGTTTCTGGTGATTGAATTTCAAAGAATGAACATTATTCCAAGTCTGATCATTGCTTGGAAATATGAAATATGTATTTAAATGTGACATTAGAGAATCTACTGAAGCTGTCTGATAGAAGAGTTATACATTTGTACTCAAATTGCACACTATGGACATTGCTGAGCTGGTATAGTATACATGCAGACAGAATGGAATGGGATCTGGGGTTGGCGCCGTGGCCGTGTTTAATCAGCATCAGATGTTTTTTTGAGGTTGTAGAGTTCAGGTTATAGAGAGACATCAAGAAGGAGGAGGTTTAAGAGTGTGGTCATTCCTCCACTGTTCTCTGCATCTGCTTGCCCCCGCCACTGCCTCTATTGTCCCTGTCTCTGCCCAGCCTCTAACCCTGCCTCCGCCTCTAACCCTGCCTCCGCCTCTAACCCTGCCCTGTCTCTGGTCAGCCCTCTTGGCAGCACACAGAGACATTTTTACATTTTTAGTCATTTAGCAGACACTCTTATCCAGAGCGACTTACAGTTAGTGAGTGCATACATATATATATATTTTTTTCATACTGGTCCCCCGCGGGAATCGAACCCACAACCCTGGCGTTGCAAACGCCATGCTCTACCAACATCCCTGCCGGCCATTCCCTCCCCTACCCTGGACGACGCTAGGCCAATTGTGCGCCGCCCCATGGGTCTCCCGGTCACGACCGGCTACGACAGAGCCTGGATTCGAACCAGGATCTCTAGTGGCACAGCTAGCACTGCGATGAGACAGAGGATGGAGATGAATGATTCCATTTGCACACTAGGTCAAAAGAACTACACTGCACCAAAGTAATACTGAGAGCCTTCACACTGTAAACCAGATAGCAATCAAGCATGCCAGTATTTTCATTAAAAACAATCAAAACAGTGATACAATGTTGTTTACAAGTGCAGGTTGTAATTTAGTGACAAAATCAGAAATATATGTACAAAACATTAGGAACTCTTTCCATGACATAGCTTTAATCTGGATTCACCTGGTCAGTCTATGATCCCTTATTGATGTCACCTGTTAAATCCACTTAAATCAGTGTAGATGAAGGGGAGGATACAGGTTCAATAATGATTTTCAAGCCTTGAGACAATTGAGATATGGATTGTGTGTGTGCCATTCAGAGGGTGAATGGGCAAGACAAAATATTTATGTGCCTTTGAACGGGGTATGGTAGTAGGTGCCAGGCACACCGGTTTGAGTGTGTCAAGAACTGCAACACTGCTGGGTTTTTCACGCTCAACAGTTTCCTGTGTGTGTCAAGAATGGTCCACCACCCAAAGGACATCCAGCCAACTTGCCACTACTGTGGGAAGCATTGGAGTCAACATGGGCCAGCATCCCTGAACGCTTTCGACACCTTGTAGTCCATGCCCCGACAAATGTGTATTTGTATTTATTATGGATCCCCATTAGCTGCTGCCAAGGCAGCAGCTACTCTTCCTGGGGTCCAGCAAAATTAAGGCAGTTATACCATTTTAAAAACATTACAATACATTCACAACAGATTTCACAACACACTAAGTGTGTGCCCTCAGGCCCCTACTCCACTACCACATAATACAACACAAAACTCAATATTAGGAAGGTGTTGCTAATGTTTGGTATACTCTGGTATACTATATTGCATGCACAGACAGAGACTATTTGATTGATCTAAGCAAAATGAGACACAAGTAGAGCAAAATATGATACATGAAGGGAGGGTGCTTATCTTGCAATTGTATCTGTGTGTGGTTGGCCTTGTGTACTGCACTAATGGTCAGACTGCTGAACGGTCCTCCAGGGAAGACAGACAGAGAGGTCCATTAGTAGTGTAATACACTGCTCAAAAAAATAAAGGGAACACTAAAATAACACATTCTAGATCTGAATGAATGAAATAATCTTATTAAATACTTTTTTCTTTACATAGTTGAATGTGCTGACAACAAAATCACACAAAAATTATCAATGGAAATCAAATGTATCAACCCATGGAGGTCTGGATTTGGAGTCACCCTCAAGATTAAAGTGGAAAACCACACTACAGGCTGATCCAACTTTGATGTAATGTCCTTAAAACAAGTCAAAATGAGGCTCAGTAGTGTGTGTGGCCTCCACGTGCCTGTATGACCTCCCTACAACGCCTGGGCATGCTCCTGATGAGGTGGCGGATGGTCTCCTGAGGGACCTCCTCCCAGACCTGGACTAAAGCATCCGCCAACTCCTGGACAGTCTGTGGTGCAACGTGGCGTTGGTGGATGGAGCGAGACATGATGTCCCAGATGTGCTCAATTGGATTCAGGTCTGGGGAACGGGCGGGCAAGTCCATAGCATCAATGCCTTCCTCTTGCAGGAACTGCTGACACACTCCAGCCACATGAGGTCTAGCATTGTCTTGCATTAGGAGGAACCCAGGGCCAACCGCACCAGCATATGGTCTCACAAGGGGTCTGAGGATCTCATCTCGGTACCTAATGGCAGTCAGGCTACCTCTGGCGAGCACATGGAGGGCTGTGTGGCCCCCCAAAGAAATGCCACCCCACACCATGACTGACCCACCGCCAAACCGGTCATGCTGGAGGATGTTGCAGGCAGCAGAACGTTCTCCACGGCGTCTCCAGACTCTGTCACGTCTGTCACGTGCTCAGTGTGAACCTGCTTTCATCTGTGAAGAGCACAGGGCACCAGTGGCGAATTTGCCAATCTTGGTGTTCTCTGGCAAATGCCAAACGTCCTGCACGGTGTTGGGCTGTAAGCACAACCCCCACCTGTGGACGTCGGGCCCTCATACCACCCTCATGGAGTCTGTTTCTGACCGTTTGAGCAGACACATGCACATTTGTGGCCTGCTGGAGGTCATTTTGCAGGGCTCTGGCAGTGCTCCTCCTGCTCCTCCTTGCACAAAGGCGGAGATAGCAGTTCTGCTGCTGGGTTGTTGCCCTCCTACGGCCTCCTCCACGTCTCCTGATGTACTGGCCTGTCTCCTGGTAGCGCCTCCATGCTCTGGACACTACGCTGACAGACACAGCAAACCTTCTTGCCACAGCTCGCATTGATGTGCCATCCTGGATGAGCTGCACTACCTGAGCCACTTGTGTGGGTTGTAGACTCCGTCTCATGCTACCACTAGAGTGAAAGCACTGCCAGCATTCAAAAGTGACCAAAACATCAGCCAGGAAGCATAGGAACTGAGAAGTGGTCTGTGGTCAACACCTGCAAAACCAGTCCTTTATTGGGGGTGTCTTGCTAATTGCCTATAATTTCCACCTGTTGTCTATTCCATTTGCACAACAGCATGTGAAATGTATTGTCAATCAGTGTTGCTTCCTAAGTGGACAGTTTGATTTCACAGAAGTGTGATTGACTTGAAGTTACATTGTGTTGTTTAAGTGTTCCCTTTATTTTTTTGAGCAGTGTAGTAACACAAGCAGGTGGAATACTACAGAGTTGGCTCACAGGCCCATATTCTATTACACATGCATCTGGAGAACTGATTATTCAAATGGCAGGCCACAACCTCTAAATGCATTGTGAATAGGGCTAATTTCATAAAATCTCTAATACAATTCAGAGCCATCCATAAGGTATATCTTGTATTGGGTGTACCTGTAAAATGAGTGAAATTCAGAGGTGGGTAAACCAGCCAAGGCGTTTTGTTTTAACGAATGGGCTTATTCAATTTTAGTGTATAGTGAGTAGCAGGTAGCACCTGAGCCAAAGCCCAACCAGCCACTGATCCTATCACTGTTGGTCTTTACACAGGGAGAGAGAGAGAATTAATAGATAACATTAAGCCTGGCTGCTGTGGGCTGATTACTGATGACGAGCAGTGATAGAGGTCTAATTGCTGCTCTGTGTGTGTGAGCTGAAGAGCCTGGTGAGGACTATGATCTCTTTATTAACAGGGTCTCCCTCCAGGGACAGATACAGACAGGAAAGGTCTAAGAGTCACAGTCAGTCAGTCAGTCAGTCAGACAGTAAAAGTGAGACATACTGAGGGTTGAATGCAGAATGAGACAGAGAGAGAGCTGGATTGAGTTGAGTGATATCTGTTACTTTTATACATTTCAGGGTAGGCTCCCATAAGATTAGGGCAAAATCTAGACATAACCTCCTGGAAACCCATTTTTTAAGACTTCTAAGATGACGGTGCCTGACGATTCCTTAATGATAATGTGTGAGCCATAGCCTTGGCTTCCTCAAATACTTTATTGGAAGGCCTAGCTTAAATATAATTTCTGCAAATCCAAATGGTGTTGCTGAGAAACATATTGACTACTGTTGCTAGGATCCTATTAATTGGTTCAAGTCAGCTAACAGCAACTTTGGAGTCTGTAACTAGGAATGTTTATACCTCAAAATAGTTAAAAACACAAGTTATCTTTGCATATTTATCTCCCAACAGAGATCACACCTTTGTCGGTACGTTTACATACCAGCTGGACAGTGGAGAGAGAGCGAGACTGAGGAAGGCTTTGCTGTAGAATAAGCTCTGCATAAGACTGAAAATATTTCAGCAAAATCAATAATAACACTTGAACCTGCTATACTGCCCATGTCCTGTCTATGAGGATTATGTTACACTGTCCTTACCAATTCCACAAAAACAACAGTTCACAGAGTTCACAAATATTAAATAATATTTCATGATATTTCATGACAACCTGACATCTGTTGTGTACTTAATCATTGCAATACATCATCATCATACCCTGAAACTGACGGATATATGGGAAGTTAGGCAAGGACGAAGTTTGACTTGTCACAATGTATTTAGTCTACTATATTATGAGGGAAAGTTCACAGGTACCGAGTGTTACACTTTCACACTATCACATTCTCGAGTGGCTGAAGAAAGGTTTGTCATTTTCTCTGGGTTTAAACTCATCCCCTGCATGATGGAGTCTGAACAGTGACAGACAGGTAAAGGTGCTGTGCTGCCTGCATCAGTAGAGCTGATCTGGCCCTGCTGCAGACCCAGTTAGACAAAGCTTCCGAGAAAATGAAAGAAAGGATTCAATCTCAATCGCATTAGCCAGGCTTGAAAGCAGGAATCAGGACATAATGCAGTTATTCAGGCACTGATACAACCATTCAGCGGCTGCTGGATCTATGTCGTAGAGACTTTACAAGACTGGGATTAGATCTACTGCTGGAGTAAATGAACGGAGGACACGAGGAGCCTCCTCTCAAAGAAGCCAATGATTAAGCTGTGTCTCTTCCATTGTGTGTGTGTGTGTGTGTGTGTGTGTGTCTGTGAGTGGTTCAGTCAGGGGAATCCATACAATGTGAAATGAAGACTCTGTTTTCCTTTGTCCACTTGCTGCAGATGTCTGTCATTCCATGGCTGTGTGAGTGTCTGCAGGAGGTCAGGCTGACCCTGTCTTTTTAGTTTTTTTAGTTTAATAATTCAACCATAAAAAAAACAAGCACACATACAACTTGAAAAAGCCATATATGCACATGAGTAAAATCATCGAGGATAACACACAATAAAGTCTGGGACTTATTTCCATTGAGGTCTTGAAACAAGATGGCTAGGCAAGATCCAACACGGTTGAACACAGTATGACGAGATAATAAACCATAAAAACAAAGAAGAAGAACATCTATCTCATCATTGCAGTTACATCATAGGGGTCATTCATATGGGCACAGAAGACATCAAACAGTTTCTTACTTTATTTTGAAAGCTGCCCAGAGAGGACGTCGTTTTTATGGGCAGAGGCAACTCATTCCACTCTGAGGCTCCAGTATACAAGAAAGTACCTTTCCCAGCATTACTCCTGATCCTGTATAAGCACACATTAGCAACACCAGTGAGTTCAGAACACTGAGAGAAACCATAGGGGGGCTTTTATCAACATCCCCTTCTACTCTACAGAACTCTGCAGCAGTTCTACCAGAAAGGCAGGGTAGTAGTACTGCCGGAGTACGAGGGATTTCAATTTGAGAATACAAGGAGCTGCTAAAAATATTTCCCAAGCTGAATCAGTGTCCCGCAAGATCACATAATGATGACCCACTGGGCACACACTGGTTGAATCAATGTTGTTTCCACGTCATTTCAATGAAATTGTGTTGAACCAACGTGGAATAGACATTGAATTGACTTTTGTGCCCAGTGGGTAATTAGTATTTTACAAACAGAACAGAATATAATAGTATAGCATAGTAGGCCTATTACGTTACTGATACACCAAAAACACCTCATTTCTAGTGAGATTTTAGGATGGTTAGCTGAAGCTGAATAGTCACATTTATTTTCTCATGTGGCCAAAACTCAACAGCGTGCCCCACTAGGCAGGATATATGCTTTGATTGAAACAAAAAATACAAGAAAGGCTAATAATTTGTTAACACCATATGCTTTAATTCGCTCACAAAACAGTAATTCAAGAAGATCTAAATGCATATTCCCATGAAACTGATTGAAATCAAATGATTGGCATGGAGATGCAGTTTGGACTTTCACCGGTAAAACTTGAAGAATTATCATTCATGATTGACAGTGATGATGGCCTATTTTGAAATGAGGTATGCCTAACTTGGTGTTTGAGGGTATTAAAAATATAAAGATGTATTGAGAAAATACGTGTGGGCATAAGCAGACGTTGCAATTGGAGGATGAATTTTATTCATATTCTATAATAATATTCAATAGGCTACAGCTGTCGGTACAAACTTTGATTGAGAAATTATAATGTAATGTTTTATTACATTTTTTTACTCCTGCACCTAAAAAAATAGCACTACACCACTGCAGAAAGGAGACTTCTCACAATATAATTTGCCAATCCGCAGTTGAAAACATAACAAAGCGGACACCCTGCTTCTGTTTTGGTAAAAAGCTGAGGGATGGGACTGGAGAAATGTAACCACTCAAATTATTAGACAGAGGTATGGATGCAAGGACTGAACATCCATGATATCAAAATGATAGTTTCAATCATGTTTTGAGGCTATACAGTGTTTGTTTACATTTACAATGTTTATAAACATATATTTTGGGTTCTGATGGGATACAACAGTTAAACTAAGCTCATTAGGTATTTTGAAGTTATATTCTTCAAGAATCAATGGGTATATATAGTCCAAAAATTTATGTAGCAACTACAGATTGCCCCTTTAAGGTGGCTCTACGAATAAACTGTAAGGGCGATAAGCCATTAATATGACAGAAATTATAGAAAAGTTTGAAGCAATGTAGATATTGGTATTCAAAGACTTTACCTCTAGGAGAGAGTCATATAGATTGAATGCAAAACGTATTCAATAAAAAAAGGCTAAACCTTTGACTGTCAATATGGGAAAATTACATACTGTAAAGGTGTGGATCGAAGTAGGAAGACTACCAATTCACCAGAGGGGTATTCCAATAATGTACAGGCCTAGAAAAACATGAAGTACACTACAGGCTCTCTTGACATTATCTCCTCATCCATCCTGGATTCTGATGAATACACACAATCAATACACTAAAGCACTACCCAAGCATGAGTCAAATACATAAATATCTACCTGTCAATCGAGCCACAGTAAAAACAGTGAAAGCAGTAGCAGTAAAAGTAGTTGTAAAAAAACAGTGAAAGAGAGGAAATGGGAGTTCTGCAGTTCTCTGTGTGAGGTCGGGACTGATAGTTTAGCAGCTGCAGAGTGGTCTCCAGCTGGGTGTACCTCTCTCCCAGTGAAGACCTTATAACCCACCATCAGGGCAGCAGGAGGTAACGACAAACAATGGCTCCAAATACCACCAAATGAGTCCTGTCCAGCGCCTAATTATAATCGCTGCTCACCGCCCTTTTTCCAGGCAATTTTAATCAGGCAGGGTTATTTGGAGAAATCACCATTACAAAGGCCTGGGATTCTGTAATGATAAGGCCTTTGTTTGAACGGTGGAGAAGGCTGGAAAACAAATCATTCTCTATGGGGGATTTTTTTCTATCGCCTTTGATTGAGACATGATGCAGCGTGGCTGTATCTCTGGATCCAGCCTGGGTTTCACGTGTGCCTACTGTACCCCCTGCCACAGAGCAAGGGTTACTGAGGAGGCACACTGTAGATTGGCTAAATTATTGTCATTGCTGTAGTTCTTTTGTCAAGCCAATGAAATAATGGAATGTAATGTTGCAGAAGGACTGCATTCAGGAAAATCACTGAACTGACCACCTGCCTCTTCAAAAGGGAATAACGAGACAATATTGTATGGTTGCATGAAAGGAGCTCTCCACTGCAGTGTGGTAAGTAAAGTCCTACAAGTGCACAGCCAAACTCCTCTGACAGTCTCTTCCAATTCACATGCCGTGTATATTTCAGACAGGGATCACTTCAGGCGAATAACTTCCCACGTTTCAGACAACTAACCAGTCTGCAGGACGGCAAACACGCTCCTGCATCATCACTGAAGATAAAACGGGTGGAGAGAGTGAAGGAGTCGGTCTCGCTAACTGGAGCCTGTAGCCATATAGAAAAGCCCCAGAGAGATTTACTGTAGAGCAGGAGGCTCCCAGGCTTAACGAAAGAGTACAGACAAGAGCTGTGGCACACTTTCCCTCCTCTATTAGCCAGGGATGGGCCGGCCCACACAGTGCTGCTGCTCCACCACATACATTCTCATCCTCCACACCCCAGACCCTGCTGCTGCCCTAAAGATATCTCTCCCACACTCACCCATGCTACCAACATCTCTCTATTCCACTTTCCCATCCTACCTACAGTACATTGCCCATCCTCACTACACCTATCTACCAACTCTCCCAACCTCCCTATGCCTCTCACCCCCATTCTCCCAGCCTCCCCCTCTTCCAGCCTCCCTATACCGCTCACCCACACTGTCCCATCTTCCCTACACCCCTCTACCCGTCTTACCCAACTTCCCTACACCTATTCCCCCCATCCTCCATACACACTTCTCTCCATCTCTCATCCTCCTGACATACCACCTACCTCAGTCTCTTATTGTCCCAACTCCATTTTCTACTTTTCTACTCCGAGGCAGACAGCTGCAGCGATGTTAGATGTTAGACAGTGATGTTTAATGGACCAGTGCTCTCAGTGCCCCCTCCATGTTGATACTTCAACAGACGTTACTACAGCACCCTCTTCATGGATAGGGAGACTCAAACTCAAAATAAAGGTGAGTACATTTTACATTTACATTTTAGTCATTTAGCAGACGCTCTTATCCAGAACGACTTACAGTTAGTGAATGCATACATTTTTCATACAACATAACAAGTAATGAAGAGACAGAGAGACAGATAGAGAATCCTTGACACCCTGACCTATTTCAAACTGATGAGATGTATTCACAAACACACAAAGTGACAGTCAGAAGCATGCCCTATTTTCTCCCTTCTCTCTCTGTCCCAGCTGTGTGTTAGCAGCACAACAGCCCAACCACAACAGGAGGTGAGGAGTAACATGAAAACAAAGCAAATCAACCTCCCAGATAGAGGGGACGATGCAGTGACTCTCCAGAGGTCACTGACCTCAATGAATTATAGATTACAGGATTCAATCTTTTTTGGTTTCTATTCCCAAAAGGAAATGGGATCTTTCTCTCTTGGACAGGGGGATGTGATAGGAACTGATGGAGAGAGAGGGTTGGAGATAGCAATACAGCCCGTAGGTTTATGGCTAGGCTGGAGAGAGAATTCAAACAGAATTCTTTATTAAGGTAGCTGGTATGATTCTGTGTTGTCGTGTATGGTTTATTTTTACATTCACACGATATATACACAATATCAATAAGGTCATCTGCAGGACTGAAGAAAGCTAAGTTAGTTATAAACCTAACCTCTGTATCCAACTTTAAAGCGAGCTCTGCTTGAAATGGGCACATGACTAATGAATGCTCTGCTGTTGCTAAATTGGGTGTGACACATACTGTAGTAATGAACTTGATAAATGATAAATAAATACATCTTTGTCTTTGATTTCCTGTGTCCTATCTCTCCATGCTCTGTGATCAGACAGGACTAGATGCATGACTACCTGCATCATTAGGCAAGGTAGAAGGCCCTCCATTTGACTTTAATCAATCCTGTCAGAGAAGTTAGGGCACGGAGATAGGATATAAGGATAAACATGTACTATAATGTGTGTATCTCAATGGCTCATTGAGACACATTCATTATAGTGTGTGTTCGATGGCACATTCAGACCCTCAACATTCTCCTTGCAGAATAATTTGTGTGCTGTTCACTGATGATCCAGGAATACTAGATATGGCTTCATGCAATTCTCCATGCCAAGAGCTCAAAGTCATGTCAGATGCTGATGAATATTCAAATTCCATTGTTGCTAATTGGTTTAGTTCTGAATCCGGGTACAGATGGACCATGTCTGTTTAAGGTGTGATGATGGTACGATGGCAGTCTAAAACATTTGAAAACATAAGGCGCCTTTAGATATGATGCCAGGTTCATTAGCACTAAACATAGCTCCTAGTAGTCACTGGCAACAATCAATATATATTCCATGCTGCTCTCCACATACATATGTATGAGTTCTGACCAATGAGTTATATATACACTAGATGACTGACAGGGGGCACTGTTTTAAAGTCAACGTGCCTCCATCTTGGCACTCCCCCACCGTTATAAAAAATATTTTGGAAGCTATAGAAATGCATTTATTAATGTCTACATTTGTTTTTGCCACGTTTATTCTAATACAGACACCTTAATGCATAATATTACATTATAATATGTGAGCTAAACTTAGAAATGGAAAAATATATAAAAACATTTTCCTTCCAAACATGATATAGTGTGCCACGTGTTATCAATAGGGAAGTAACAATGACTGCTTACTATTGGTGGTACCACCCGTCACAATAGTTAAGGGAGCAACAAAAGCTTCTGTCTATTCTGTACATACAATAAATAAGCCAACAGTATACCTAGCTGGGCAGTAACCTGTCATCTGTAGACTTATATTCAAATCTAACACTCACCACTAACCCTGTTATCTATATAGAAATTCAAATGAGCTCCCCAATTAGATTATTCAGACGTAGACAGATCTGTGAGAGCCCTGTGCACCACAGCAGCAGCACGTTCCTGAGGAAAGAGAACGAATGAGAGAGAACTTCTTCTGGATGTTCCCTCCCCTGAGAAACACACTAGCCCTGCCTTGAAGTCTAGCTTCCTCACTCCTTCCTCCCTCTTCCTCTATTTGCTCTCTATTTTACATTCCACTACATTATTAATTGACTGGGTGGAACTTTATTACTCAGAGAGCCAGGCTTACAATGCAAAATATATTCCCTTAGACAGACCACACACTGGGACCTTTGCTGACAAACAGATGTTATTATAACAGCTGGTTGCATGACCCACCCATCAAATGACTTTCATGACAAAATAATTTACACACTGCTAATGAAATATGTCCTGAGCCTGAATGATAAGGACAAAACAGAGGCACAGTAACGATCAATCTCTTGGCTTTCCCCTCCAACAACTCTGGTTTACAGCAAGGCCAGCCAGGGCTTCTTGATGGGTGCCTCCTCTGTTACCATGGTTACGCAGTAACCCCAGTCACCAGGTTTGATTATGCAAGAGGAAAGGAGAGCAGGTGCTGCTAGAGTTCACACACGGCCATGGTTAATATCACCTCACTGCTACACAAACCAAAACGTTCTGACTTCAACAGTAAACAGAAAATAAGCAAGGTGCTATTGAGAATCTTATTTTCAGGAAATCTTATTTACCCCTATTTATGATCTCATCCAAGGAAAATTAGTTGGATGAAACCTTGGTCCTGTACAGGAAAACAAAAACAGAAGCACTTAAGTGGACTTATCGCTGGGTTTGACCTGTGTGTCAGCATTGAAAACACACTGAAGCTACACTGTCCCTCTGTCCCTCTTTAAAAAAAGGATAAAACACTGAAGAAAAGATTGAGCAAGAACCCATACAGCATCAGCTATATAGAACATACACACTTCAACGTGGTCGAATAGCAATATGCTCTAACTACTGCCCCAATGCAGCTATCCTTGTTTGACACTCAAAGAGTGATAGGGGAGCCCGGGGTTGGTTGTCTCACGGGTTGGTTGTCACAGTGATAATTGCTCCCAATCTAAATGGTGCTGTTTAATAATGTTAAGGTACAAATGTGTGATTTATTTGAAAGGACTCATCCACCTGGTCATGTCAGCATGACAAAACATTGAGGTGAGGGGAATGTATGGGTTTTTCATAGGTGAAAGTAAAAAAATATATATCTTGGTATTTTCTTTGTAAATGTTTGAATTATGGATGTAACCATGAATAATTATGTTTGCTGAAAAGAGGAAAGGGAGAGATACATTTCAAACCATTTTCTGAATGCCTAGGTCAAGCCATGTGGTAACTAACATCTTCATTAACATTGGGGGGAGTGGTTGGGGATGGCTGTCACATGGAATGTGGGGTTGGTTGTCACTATCAACATTGCCACTGCCAGTATACAATAAATCCTACACTCTTTTGTGCTTGTGCTATAAAGAGCTCCCTTCGTTGCCTCTCTCTCACACAATGTTTTTTCTGTCACACACACACACACGCACACATGCATGTGCAAACACACACACACACACAAATGTACTAAAAATGTCATATGATATGCTCAAGGCATAAAATTCTGAATTTTGTTTGCTGAAATAAAGGCTTGGCTATTTCTAAGACTCTGTTTGCTATATTGCTTCGTTTCCTGTTACAAAAGGAATAAGTTACTAGCAAACATTGTGACAACCAACCCCATACTATGTGACATCCAGCCCCACGATGGGTCTGGTGTCACAAGTGGACAGAGTGTGTTTAATGGCTAATAACTGATGATGATAAAAAGGGTCCACATTTCAACCCAAGACCTTGGTCTTTCTCCTAATATTGAAAAGAGTATTGTAAGATATACTGGTACTGAGAAATACACACAAGAGTAAAAAGTGTGACAACAACCCCGGTCTCACCTACATTAGCAATGTGCTGGAATAGACTGGATAGGAGCTGACAGGTATCTCTCCCCCCTTCAGGGCACAGGAGTGGAGGAATACTACCTACCACATCAGTCAACTAAATCAATGTCAAACTCACAGAGATAAACATCAACAACAAAACAATTCAGAAATAATTCCCCTGCTGTGCCACCATGTCAGAAAGAGGGATGCATGTATACATATGAAGTGGTGGGGAGACGACTATAGATCCACTGGAGCTGCATGAATATGAACCTAGATCAATGAGACATGACTGGAGGAGATAGAGTTTTCAGAAAGTATTACTTTTTCCACATTTTGTTGTATTACAGACTGAATTTAAAATGAATTAAATTGAGATTTTGTGTCACACAATACCCCATAATGTCAAAGTGGAATTATGTTTTTAGAAATGTTTACAAATTAATAAAAAATGAAAAGCTGAAATGTCTTGAGTCAATAACTCTTCAACCCCAACACAACAAAT